TTTTCCTTAATTTTTGTTTGTGGTATTTTCTAGTTTAAATTCGTTTTTTGCTGCTTCTGCTTCTGCTGTTAGCATTGATGTGATAATAAATAAAACTGAAATCGTGTTTGAACGTTCTTGAGTTCCTTTTATTTATGGCATTCATCATTAGACGCCAGCATGATTTGAATGAATAAATAGAGGCCCAGAACCCCGTAGCCTGTGGCTGGGACTGTGACTGCGACTGTGACTGGGACTGGGACTGTGACTGGGTGTGAATAATAAGGAGGGAGTGTGCGACTCCTCCTCCCCATCCCGAGTGACTGGGGTACTTAAGTGGCAATGCTTTGTGTTGTGTCCAGCAGTAGTTCCGCGTTGGAATCGATCCATTCGAAATGCTATACTAAAACATTGCCTAACCATCGGAGGGGATTAAAAATACGTATTACATTGGCGGAGAAACTCTCTCCTCCTCTCTCTCTCTCTCTGTTTCTCTCTAAGCCGATCCGATAATTGTAATTCCTGAGCTCCAACTTTTACCGCCTCGGGCTGCACTCGACAGCAGATAAGATTGCAAACAAAATTAATTAAAAATATCAAAAGTAGACAACGGCCAAGGCAAAAGCAACATCAAATCAAACTACAAAATAAAACTCGAAATTCAATTATGAACAATGCCTGGATGTTGCAGCCATGCAACAAAATGTCAAATGGTCAAATCAAAGTGGTTGTAAAACTGTCGAGGGGCTTACGAGGGGCCTCCAGGATTCACTGACTCACGGCCCCACAGGAAATGATTCATTTGTGGGGTTGGACAAAAGAAGCTGACAGAAATGTATCCCAAAAGGGATGGCAATCTGTATCGGTAGTTCTGGGAAATCTTTAACAGAATTCTGGATGTCTTTAAAAACAGTTTACATCAATCTTCTATCTATCTTTAAGGGAGGTTCTGTTAAACCAAGATCTGTGAAATAGTAGAAGAAAGTATTACCTCTCTAATTCTTCTTAAGCTCCATAGATCTAAGCCCAGAGCTACTCGAATAGGGTAACGTACACTCTGTAAATGATATTTTGCAATCCCAAGTAGAGAAATTGTTTTGTTTTTTTTTTATGAAGCCACAAGACGAGTGCCAGTACCATCTGGCGGGGCAATATATCAGCTGGACTACAAGCTGTGAATACAAATGGTTGCCAAACTGTACAACTACGAGTACGAGTACGAGTACGAGTATTGCGGCAACAGAGAGGCATCATTGCAATGCAGTTGTTATGGCTATACCCTAGGGTATAGAGAGGGTATTTCTATTTCGAAATGCACAAAAGATACCCGAGGAGACAGTCTGTTATTCTCCCCCAACTTTCAGCTTTGATAAGATCAAATCACTATATAATATGGACCAATGGATCTGCCAGGGTATCCATTGTTTCGACGCCTAGAAACACACACACATTAGGCATCATTTTGCCGGAGCTTTTAGCATGTTTTTCATTTCAGCCATTGCTCAATTAACCCGCTTAGACGGCATTTTTTTCTATTAACCAATAAATTGTTGGGGCCCAGCAAGGGGGAGACGAAGATGACAAACCATTTACATGGCACGCCCACAAGTGCCCCATTGTGACGTTGGGACTGGCGGCAAAATACCGAAAAACACTCGGCGACAAATTTATATGGGAACTACGAGTGTTTCTGCGCATTTCTCAGCTATGTGCATAGCTCTAATCTCTAATAATAATTAGAAAAAAAGATCTCCGCAGAGCTTAACTTTCTCCCAGCGACACATTCGCGTAGAGGCCGCGAGGCACTTTAATTAAAAAATTGCCCATGCATAAATATTTGCCTGGTCTTTGGTAGATAATTCTCCACAGATCTTTATTGTTTGTCTTCTTAAAAGGTTTTTGTTTTGCATTTTGCTAAACAAACAAATATGAATACGCATAAATTATAGCTGAGAATTCGATGTATTCGAGGGGATCCAGTTAATCCAGTTGTATTTAGCAGTGAATATGATTTATTAAAACATAAATGGAAAACAGAACTCGACTGTGCAGATCATGGTGCTGTAACCACGAATGGCCAGTACTATCTCACGATCCTCTGTCATAGCCGTTTTTATAAGAGGTATTACAAAGCACAGGGTGTGGATAATCCTTCTGGCATAATCCAAGATAAGTCCACGAGCCCATCAAACGAGAATTTTGATGGTAAATGATCTGTGGATCGTACTGGAACTGTTCATCGGGCTTTGGGTATTTGTAGTACTCTGGCGATATATTTTACTGGACTTGAGCAAAAACATAAACGAAATATTTAAAATACAATATAAATTGTAAACAAAATGATGTCAAGGCATTCACTTTCAAAAAGAGCCAAGAAATTATAATACAAAACAAAATGTATGAAAGGTGTTCTCTTTTTTTTTTAGAAGAACGAAGTTCCAATACACTACTGCTCTTGAATAGGCGAACTGTAAAGGGTTATGAATCATGTAATCCTACTACTAATAAGCTCAAAGCCTGTGACACATAATTTCTAGAAAGTTTTGTACCCTCATGGAATGGTAATACGATTTTGAATCAATATATGCCTCCGATATTAGCCCTTGAATCTTTGGATATACGATTAGTAGATAGAATTACTGAATACCTTATAGTATGGATATGATTTCCCCGCTTAAACGTTATGCTCTCTCTCTCTCCCAGTGTAGCTTAGTAGTAAGAATTGCCATGGCTGATGGGACCAAAGGGTGTACCCTCTGAAAAGAGTATGAAAAAGAGAATTACGCAGGCATACAAAATATATATATATATAGTATATACTCGTACATATATATAATTTGTAAAACAAAAAACCTGCTGCGGCTACTTCAACTCAATTAACCCACCAACAGCAGCCGCAGCATTGTGTTGGATCAACTTTTGAGCTCCCATTAAGGCTCCCCTGTCGCTGTCGCAGCACACCCTTCCCCGCAGCCCCTGACCTCATTAAACCGAAACATAGTACTCTCGTAAATCTTCCTGGACCTCTCTGACGTCCGGCCGACACTATAACAAATATTTGCCATGATATTATTTCACTCCACGTTTTGTTCTTTCTGCCAAAAATTGTTTCTGCTTTGTTTTTTATGGGACAATTTGCTTTATTTCGGTCTATAAAAAGAAATTAAAGCAAATTGCGGGGTTTTTTTTCGTTAACACTATTAATTGTTAATGTCTGGGGATTAGGTAAGGAGAATTCAAGTGAATTTTGGCACAGCGCAAATAAAAGTAAAAGAAAAGACAAGCCAAAAACCAAAACCAAAAGCCAATGTCATTTATTTCTTTGTTTTGTGATGAGAACTGAATTTTAAGTTACGGAGTTACGGCTGAAGGTTACGTACGGGAGGAGATAATCTTAATAGATTGTACATGTGCGATACCATAGGGGTACAATTATATGAATAACACGGTCTAAAACATTCGATTAAAGTGGGGGGGAAGTGTAAGCTTCTTACAGAAGTGGAGACGAAGGATATAAAGGAACTCTTAGCAGTAAAGAGTGGAGGGCACACAACATCTCTATCCATCTCTGGGTCTAACCCAGGCAGACTCCTGAGAAATCATTTAAAAACAACTAAAGTCAACAAACGATTTCTACATAAACGCCTTCGAAAAGGGATTTGTACGACTGTAGGTGGTAAAACCTAAGAAGATTAAGCAGTTGTAATACTCTGAATTTCCCATTCAGCTACCTGCAAGGGAACACAGCACCACACATTCCCACGTTACTCAAAAGGTATTCGGGAAAAGGGCTGCCAAATGTGTGCCTAATCTTTGCCACCACAAAACCCCGCACTTGATTTCTCTCTCTAACGAACGACAATAATAATAATAATAATAACAATAATGGTAATGCTAATGATGCTGCTGGGGTTCTGGCTGGGCTCCTTTTGAGGTGTGGTGTGGTGTGTCTGTTTGCCAATCACTTCCATACAAATTTATGGCATACATTATAGTTTATTCAATCATTCAATTAAATGCATTCCAATGCGTTCGCACGTTGACTTCCTTTGCGCCTTACTCTCTTTGCAACTCCTCTGTGTCTCGCCCGATCTCTACTCCGAGTGGGGCACATGACACACATGCCCAAAAAAACAACAAACAAACAAACAAAAAGTATACGTACTCGTACGAATACGAATTGCGAAACTGTTTAATTTAGTTGCGAGTCACTTTTTTTCGTATTTATTTTGAGACATTCTTTAGAGCCGCCGCGGCGGGCCTTGTCTGGGGTCCGAAGCTCTGAAGCTGAGGCTGCGGCTGCGGCTGAGCCCCCAATCAGAATTTACGATTTACGATTTATTTAACCTGACACTGGCAGCCACACACCGAGCCAGACTTAGAGCTACAGCTAGAGCCATGGCTAAATTGATATTTCTCTGCTCTTTTGAGTAAACATTAGAATCAACTTTTTCGAAATTTGCTGTTGACACAGTTTATGCCCAGGCAATCGGCCGCCTGCACCTGAGTATCTCTGTATCTTTGTATCTCTGCGGGTCCCTGAGCGAGCGCCGCTAAGAGCCAGGTCTTAACAATAATAAATTGCATTCTCAGATGCCTGGCCGGGTCTGGCCGGGCCTGGCCTGGCCTCTATTGAGAACTCTCGAGTGGCTCGAGTGTTTTCAATCTAAACAAATAACTTGGTTGTGGTTTTTGCATTTTAAGCAGCCTGGGAACACACACACTGGAGCTCTCTGGAACCCAAATTTAGCTGTTAACAAGCTACAAATATGAACAGAAAATGCTTAAAAATATACACTTTTGATAAATGACTTGGCAGTTTGTCTCCCCAGCCAAAGCTGGACAAAAGATTGCCCGAAACAGAAACAGAAATAGAAACATCCGTATAATATAAGTTGAAAGCGTTTACCATTATTATATGATATGATGATCAATCAAGTGGTAGCATTTCGAAAAAAGTAGCTAAAAATGTGCACAAATCAAATGCTGACATAAGTAAAAGTCTTTGTTAATGATTGGCATCTGTTTCGATCATTAAATAGTATTTATTGAAACGCGATAAAGTTCTCCAGCAGCGCGAAAGGAAGTTGTTAAATTTCTCTCTCTTTCGTCTTTTTTCAGACCCTTGGGCGCTCTGAAACGCTCCTGGCGTGATTTGATTAAAATTTTGCACACAAAACTGTCGTCCACATGGCAAACACTTCCTCATTACGCCTTTTGCATTTTGCGCTCATTTTTGTATGAAAAGTACAGTGGAGCGTCTGTTAGGAGGAAAAATTCGACTTGGAGAGTCTTTGAGCTGGGGAAAATCTGTAAAAAAAATGCTACTATTAAATTTGTATAAATATCTGAACTTACTTTTCAAGCTAGTGGATAATGGATAGTTCATTCTTAATGGAAATTATCCATCAAAGGGGGATCCATCATTAGGGATCTTTTAGTTTTTATGAATCATTACAATTATAAAGAATTTTGATTCTATCAGAGGTCTATCCCTCTAAGAGCTTTACTTCCGATTATAATAGCTATTCCCAATCTATAGCTCATCTTTCACATCTTTCTTAAATAAATCTTGATTTTTATAGAAGTTCGAACTATAGACGTTTGACTGTCTATTTATTTTGTATACCCTTTTTTTTCGTTAATTTAATGTGAGTTGAGGTTTTTAAAATGCGCGCTCACGCCCTGTACAAAACTTTGCAATTATGGACAGCCGGGGGGAAGTAGAATACAAAAAAGGTGGAAGAAAACCGAGGAAAAGGCATAAATGATAATGGCTGGGCTGAGGAATGAGGTAGGGCAGGGCAGGGCAGTGCAGGGCAGGGCAGGGCTCCATACAAAACAATTATTTAGTTTTTGTTTTTTGTTTAAATTTTCTTACAAATTCAGCGCGCTTTCTTTGCCTTCTTTTTTCATCACGATGGTGATCATGGTGTGGAGAAAACGAAAACGAAAACGAAGACGACAGCGACAGCCGCCGATGTCAATGGCCCCAAGGGATGGGAATGGGATGGGTGGGATACCAACTACTGGGCTTTCTCATATATGTGTGTGTGTGCGACGAGTGTATCTATGAATGGAGATGGCAACCGCCCGCATACGTTGACATTTACATAGTACAACAAAGCATAAATGGATGTTGTGGTCGATGTCGAAGTCGAAGTCCCCATCGAAGACGAAGACTCGAAACAGCAAAAAAAGTGAAAGCCAGCTACTTTATTGACTCCCCAAAGACACCTGCAGACACTCAAGGTCATTGCATAGAGAGAAACAACACACATACCCATACTTTTATTACTAATGATATGGCCATAGACCTGCCTTTTGTCCGAGCCCGAAGTTGAGGCTGAGGCTGAGAGCCGAGGCTTTTATCGGGTATCAACTTCCTATGGAATTGGCTCTTTTATGCCGCTGCTGCAATTGCTAGCCAGCTAGCCAGTCAGCCATAAATTACCATAAATTCCAAGCCTTAATATTTATATTTCTAAATCACGAGCACGATTTCTTTTCAGCTTTATAGTTGGTCGTAAAAATCAGAGTATATCACACGAAAACAGAACAGAAAATTGCGAACATGATTAGATAACCCACAGAGCCACACAGCCACACAGCCACAGGTAGCAGGCCCCTCCGATCAGATTTAGATTAGACCTAGACCACCGTATCCGTAACACACAATGATAGGCATGACCGTGTAGAATGGTGCCAGAAGCTAGTGTTTCCAATTGAAGATAGACCCCAGTACAAATATGATTAAGTGGTTCAAGTGCAAATCAAATCAAAACGGCTGGAGGATACGACTAGAGGATACCTAAACTATAATGTTTATGAATATGTATAGTCAAAGGAGAAATTTGGCAACAGTTTAACATAAACAACGCCCTTATCGGCGAGACTGTTGTCGAGCAGCGATGTGTTTTGTGTGTCTTTCAGGTGTGGTTTTTTATAAGATAAAATCTTGGAGAAATTGGGTAATAGAGGCAAGAACTAACGACTATCTAGAAGTTTCGGCAGACCTCTGAAAAATACCGATATGCCCTGGCCTCTCTACAAATTTGGTAGCTACAAAAATTACCTTCCAGAGATCTCAGTTCTAGCCACAGTGTCGCACACACAGAAGTGTATTTTCGCCGAGCCCCATTCTCGTGTTAGTCCACAGACAATTACAGGCACTGGTATTCGCAGGTATATTCCATATAGAAAATGCAAACCAAACATCTGCCTTTGTTGTTCCATAATTTGCGACACTTAAGCAGGGTCTTTCAGGCGTTTAAATCACTCTCGGATACTCGTAGTGGTTGCATCCTTAACTAGCTGTTTATCAAACAATTTGCTATCTGAATAATGCGAAAAACTTGGTAGTACTTACGTGCCCCTGGCAAAGTCGTGTGGCAAAAAAAAAAGTTAATTATAATAGCGAAAAATATTTGCATATTGTAAGATGCTGTGAGAAAAAAAACACAGCAAAATACAGAAGACAGAAGACTGTTTACAGCTGCCGGAGAAGGAGTGTTAATTATGCGGTAATTTATTATTACAATCGCGGTTGACACTCGCCTTTCGGTGCAAGTACTTGCCAAATCTTCAAATTGGGTGTGAATTGGTGCCTAATGAGGAGTGAAAGTGTGTGTTCGCCTTTTACCTTTAAATTGTGTGAACAAAATGAGAGTTACAACACCTAATTGGGTAATTAATTTTAATATATTTATATTCTATTGGAGTTCCCTTTATTTTAATTTCCTTTTTGAAAGTATGAATAGTAGATCTTTTTTTTATGTTGAAAATTTGTATTTTATTTTAAACAAGTTTACTGCTACCTTTCGGGGCAACTTAAGAAGACCGGCACTCTTCGGAAGACCGTTTTTGGCTAAAAAAATATTTAAATTGCAATTTTAAAAATTAAGAAATTGTGTGTTTATTTTTTAAAATTTATTTTAATACAAATAATAATCATTTTAAAATTGTATTTCAAAGATTAAAAATTGAATTTTTATTTCAATTTTTATCATAAAAGCTAAAAATATGAATTAATAAATAAATTAATAAGTTAATTTAAAAAAAAATTTTTAATTTAAAAATTAATTTTCTTTTCCATATATCAATTAAGATGTGATTCTGATTTTAATAATAATAAATAATTATTTTATTTTGAATAGTTTTTTATTTTATAAAATAAAAATCTTATAATTCCTTTCCTAAATTTCACTTTTGAAAAATTCGAATTATATTAAACATATACTATTTCTTCTATTGCCTTTCAGATCTATCTAATTTTAACATGTTGGTGGATACAAACGGATTTTGATCCGAATAAAATATAGTTACAACAACAACCAAAATCATAATGGAGAACAGCAACAGAAACTCAACAATGGAACCCCCCGCAACGGAGACGGTCGGCTCTGATGAGGTGGACTTTATTGTGGCACCGCACAACAATAACAATGAGTACGAGGATCTGAGGAGCGTCAGTCAAGCGGTGATTAACACCAAAGCAACACTAACAATCGCACCAACAATCACACCAACAACAATTACACCAAACAACGAACCAAATGTTGCCAACAGCAACACCAACAGCAACACCAACACCAACACTAACAACACACTGAAGAAGTCCAAGGAAAGGCGCACACTGTTCCACTTTGGCAGCAGCAGCAGCAAAAAATCAAAGGAGGAGACCAAGGCCAAGGAGTCCAGGGCCAGCCTACCACCCACACCCACACCAATGCCACTAGTTCCCATTGGAACACCGCCGCGACAGCACAAGTTCGTGAAGAGCAACAGCCTGGCCCGATTGCTGGGCAACACCTACAATGCCAAGAAGTTCGAGAAGCAGGAGCAAAAGCGCCTCGAGGGGTGCAAATTCAACACGTACAGTGGCCGACGGGGCCGGGCAGGACCCTATCTGGAGCGCTTCAAGCGGGTGTCCAAAGAGGATGGCGACATCGCCGGCGGGGGGGACAACGAGACAGTGAGGGTCACAAATGTGGTTACCCTCACGACGGACTCGCGGGATCTGCAGTATGGCAGCCGGCAGGAGCACGTGGGCCGCCAGAGCAGCAGTAACCAGGAGCAGCAGGATCAGATGAGCAGCTCGAAGGCCATGCGCACGCTGACCCGCAGCCTGGGCAAGTTGTGGAAGCGCACACACAGCGTGGATATCAGCACACCCGATCCGGAGTTCAAGGTGTCGTACCTGGGCAACGTGCTAACTGGATGGGCCAAAGGTGAGTACTCCTCCCGATCCGCTTACGAGTCCCGGAGCTAATTTTGTTCCTCCAGCAGGTGAGGGTTGCGTGGAGAAGCAACTGAATACGCTGTGGCGCAACTACACGCAGCACACGAAGCCGGATGTGATTATGCGACTGAAGGTGTGTGCCTCTGGGCTGAAGGCCACCACACGCCAGCACGGACTCACCGAGTACTGGGCCCATAGGATTACCTACTGCTGTGCCCCAAAGAACTATCCGCGCGTCTTCTGCTGGATCTACCGCCACGAGGGCAGGAAGCTGAAGCACGAGCTTCGCTGCCATGCGGTGCTCTGCAGCAAGGAGAAGATAGCCCAGGATATATGCGATACTTTGCGGGTGAGTCATCCATACTGCTCTTCGAATTAAACCCTTACTCATCCTTGATCTTCTTCGAATCTTGCAGGAGAACCTGGAGAGCGCTTTGCGTGAATTTAAGCGAGAGAAAATTCTTAAGCAAAACGCTCGTCTCAGCCTGGCCAACGCTGTCTACGACAATCCGAGCCTGCCGCGCCGCAAAATCATGCTGAGCGTGGGCGGCAACAACTATCGACCGCCGCTGGAGCGCTCCAAGTCGGCGCCCAAGCTGATGGCCATCGAGGAGGCCATTGGCGAGGAGGAGGGCGACGAGATCGAGGACACCAACGAGCCGGAGATGCGGGCCTGCTGTCAGCGCGACTCCTTGTACCCGGCCATGACTCTGGGACGGCGTCGCTGCCGTCGCGGCCACTCGATACGACGCACTGGAAAGATCCAAGTCCCTTGCTGTTCCCATCAGCAGGAGCTGGAATCGCCCAGGGAGGAGGCCAACATCATTTGCCCAGCGGCCATCAACGATGGCTCCGACTCGGACGACTTTGAGAAGCTGCTGAAGTTCGACACGACATTGAGCAACGAGCTGTTGCCGTACTTTGACATGCAGCTCCACAAGACCAGCAGCCAGAGCATGGTCAGCCTCAGCGAGCTCAAGGTCGATGAGGAGGAGGATGGAGAGCCGCTGAGTCTGCTGCCCACCATCAATAGCGATCCCAGCGCCGATCCCCAGGCTGACTACGACACGGAAGATCACGATGTGCCTGCCATGCGTCGCAGTGGAGTCTGCAGCGATGGCGAGGAGGACTTTTTGGACGATGCGGATGATCACTATTTCCGCCATGCAGCGATGCTGACAATGCTGCATCGCAGCTCCATGCGGAAGCTGCGGGCCAGCGATCAGGCCAGCCTTCAGTATCGCCATCAGGCCCAGTCCTCCATATCCTCCAATGCATCCAGCTCGACGACGGCGAGCACCTCGGCGGCGGCTGGCACGGGATCCGGGGCACAGCAGGGCCTTGTCGGGCCGGACAGTGATGAGGGTTCGATATCCAGCGGCTGCGAGACGGCCAGCACAGTCACAAACGCAAATCACGAGGAGTACATCAAGAGGGGTCAGGACCAGGGACCGGAGTTGGAGCAGGCGCAGGTGCTAGAGCAGATGATGATCTACCAAAGACTGGAGCAGCAGCTGCGCAACAACAGCGATGCCACCAACTACAGCAGTTCCAGCAGCATCACGCTGAAGCGGAGCGACGACTCCACTAGCGATGACCTGGATATGGCCGACAAGCCGGCCGGCAGGAATAACCAGAACATGCCGGACGATGGCTCTGATAGCGACGAAAGCGGCTACGTGGAGTTTCAGGAGAAGGAGCGCATTGTCCAGGCCAGCAACGAGCCACCACACATGGCCATGTCCCTGGTGAAGGTCGCCGTTAAGCCGCAGATACCACCAAAGCCGGCTCCACGCCGTTCGCTCAGTCTGAACGCGAAGGCAGCCACAGCTGCAACAGGAGCCGGCAAGGCTTCGGGCACGGCGGTCTAAGGTGGACTCCCCCACGTCCCCGCCCCAGAGAGAGAGAGAGAGAGAGAGAGAGGAAGGGAGAGAGAATGCTTTAACACAAAGGAAACCCGTTTACAAATTGTTATTTCTGCGCACCCGTCAGCAACCATAGCAAATACAAATACAATACAAAAAGTGCGAGAAATTTAATTCCTAGTTGTAGTCTATTATCCATTATCACCTAGCAAGTAGCGGATAAGTCATTTGTTGTTGGTTCATCGTCCGAGGAAGACCTAACGATATTATACATACGAGTATATATTTGATCCTTACCCAATTCGCATCCCATCATCGAAATTAATGAATTTATATTGTAAATATTACTAGAAGCCATAGGCACCAATTTATTACACGATTGGATTGTAATTGATGAACTGTATCTTATGTACCCATATAAATTATTGTCTGAAAAGTCTGTGTCCGTTGTTTCAATATGTGTGTCCCCTAAGTAAGATGTTCTTGTTTAAGACGGGCGGCCGAGAGAACCAGTTTCTGAATATTTAATTTCATTCCAAAGTTGTGGCAGTTTTACATTGCATTGTATGTACATTTACTAGACTGGACTGGGCTTCACTGGCAGAGTGGGGAGCCGCTGGGCAGCAAGTTTTGTTGACGCAACAAATGGCATACCGTGCCGCGGAAATCGCGAAGCGAATGGTCCTGCAGCTGCTGATTGAATACCTGTTGCAAGTGGAAAACGAAATCGAAACGAAAACGAGAAACCAGTTAAATGCTCCATTCGATTACGATGGCCGGCCGATCGGAGATTGAGAGTACTTACGCCATTGTAGACAATGGTGGGAATGAAGCTCGGCTGATATGATTTGGTCACCAGCTCCGCTTGCAGCTGCAGCTTGGTGCCAGTCTCGCTGTCTGCGCAATGGTCCACGTCGGTGAGGAGACCAGCCTCGCTGGCACACTGTGGTCGTTGGGACATTGGGACATTGGGATATGTAAATGGCTTGTTAATCATTTGGGCAAACACACTGGGCTGCGGCTTTCACCATCGCACATACCTGATCAGCGCGAGAAGAATCCAAGGCGAACATCTGGCAGACAACGAATTTCACTTGAGCCGACTGATTGGCGGTGCTGCTGATGACACAACTCTGGACACGGTTGCCCTCGCACTCGGCGGGTCCATGCTGGCAGTGGAAGATGGCGCCGCCCTGCTCGGACCGGGACTTGCCGAACGGCACCAACTGGATGTCCATGTACTGTTGCAGCTCCTCGTGGACGGGTCCCAGTTGGTGCATGAAATTCCTGCTATCCGGACAAAGGGACTCGTACAGCAACGTGATGTGCAGCTAAGGAGATGGATGAGAAATCAATGTTTGCATGGGAGTTTCAGAGGTAATAGCATCGAGAGCAGAACCTTATCCGCCTGACGTTTATCGCGTGGCTTTTCCTCCAGTTCAGCCCAGCAGCTAACGGCCAGCATGAGCCCTAGCAGGAAACTCATGCTCAAGGCAGTGGGAAATTTTAGCATGTTGGGCAAATATTTTGAGCTATATCAGCGAAAATCGATTGGCCTTCGATGGGTTCCGTTCGAGAATGACCGTTTATTTGTTCGTGCGCGCGGTGGTTGCCTTCAGGTGAATGCCAAGCCCAGCCCAATATTATGCGACCGTCGAATTCGATTTTAGTTAAACAACTGAGCGCAGTTTTGTCACATTTGGTGCTTATTTTCGGCCAGCACCAGAAGCCGGACCAGACAACAGCAGAGCATGTTCGGTGGGTGTCTCTCTTCAGCATTCTCGCTGGCAAGCCGGTTTCTTGAGTCAGCTTATTTCGTTCGAGCAGATACTATATTCCCTTATTCACACCTTAAGCTAACAATGGGACTATGGTAAACAGTTTTAAGACCTGTTTTAGCACACGATAAACCGTATTCTGTAAATCCCCTTTTGCTGTATATCGAGACCGTTACACCAAGACTATAATCGATAACCTCTCACCTGCTTCAATTGAAAAAGACTCTGCTCGCACAATTTTCGCAGCAACGACTGGTGGTACCTGATGCCTTGCCATATGAAAAATATCAATATGACCGTTAAAATTATATTCACGCGGACACCTCCCATGTTCAGAAGAATAAAAAACGTTTGCAACTAAAGAGCCTTGAAACTTTACAGATGTGTATATCAATATTTCAATATTGCACGGCTACCGTGAAAATACAATTTAATGCTTATTTTTAAAACAGTATGTTGGCTCTTCGATTCCAGTTTCCACTATGGCCCTGCATATACTCTTTTTGAGTTTATCAGTGGCCTCATCTTGTAGACTTTCATCGAAATCCTTGAAAAAATTGTTGAAACATTATAAAAACTATATTCTCAATGATGATAGTACCTACATCATTGTATATTATGGCCGGAATTTGATCGAACTCGTACATGTTGGTGATTCTCTCGGATTGTTTCTGATATGTCCTCGACCGGCCATTTCGACCCATACATTCAGTAATATACCTCTTGATGGCCGATGATTTGATGCATTTTGTATCTATCTTAGTTACCAATTTTCTGTTTGTTATCTGACAAGTGACGTAGCTCAATTTTTCTAATTGGGTCATGTCGGTATGAAGAGCACAATCCTGAATTCTATTTCCCTTACATTCTTTAGGACCATGTTGGCAAACTGTTCCTCCATGCTGGTGGGAAGAGAGAGAGAGAGAGAGAGAGAGAGATCTTTTCAAATATTGTTCATAAACAATAGTGTTCACTTACCGAAGCTTTGCCGTAGGGAACCAACTGGAGGTCAATGTATCCATTTAACTTTTTGAAAACAGGTAACAAACTTGTCAAATAATCTACAGAATCCACACACAAAACCTCGTACAGAACGGTCATTTTTAGGCGCTATGGGGATAACGGTAGCTTGTTAATATTAATCACAGAACCTACAATATAAGCAACACCTTTTGATCCTGTTCACATCCATGTGGCAAGACATGGCAAACCAGCAGCAAAAATATTAGCTGGGACATGTTTCACGGTTCATGTTTCAATGGCAACAAACAGTGATAAGGAAAATGTATAATTTTTAATTCAATTGGATTCGATTCAAATCTGAAGCGTAACGCGCGCTTTATAGTGCTTACAAAATATCTATTCATTGATATATATATTGACGTCGAAATTGAATTTAATGTTTATTTAGTGAATATTACTTACGGTATATCGGTATAATAATATTTTCCGTGGAATATATATATGTTTAACTGTATGGCTATTAGCTTAACTAAAGTTGTTAACTTCTTTGAATAGAGGGGGGGTCAAGTGGGTTAATACAAGGAATGAGCCCGCGGTCCAGGGTGACCATTTACGTATTTTTAATACTTTTCGGTATAATTTGAGGTCAAAATTGAACCGACGGTATAGGTATAGAATAGGCCAGTTAAGTAGAAAATTGATTCATCAATCGCATAAGGCTATGTGGGCAAAGCTAAATGGTCTATTTAGCTGGTAATATTCGATGGAAGATCAAAATTGAGGAATATGAATAATTCGTCGGTATATTTTCAAAATAATACCGTATATTTCGTTATTTATTTGAATCGGGTATGAATCGCTAATAACCGGTTCACAACAATGAGTCCCATTCCATGTACTTGGATATCGACTTAGGGTGCACAAGCATTATGTCTTCAAATTCCAGGAACATTGCAACTGTTTTTTTTTTTGTTGAACTATTTTGTTTAAGCGTTTTTTTAGTCAAAATGCAATAAAAGCAAATGTTTAAAAAAAACTAATCGCTTGGAAAATAGATTCATTAATAAGATAAAATGATGTGGACATAGCTAAATGTTCTATATAGTTTGTAATAATCCACGGAATATCAAAAACGAGGAATAGGTAAAATATATCTTGAAATCGTCAGTATATTTTCGGTATATTTTTAAAATGACACGGTATATTTCTGAGGGTCGGACGGTATATTTTATCGCTGCCGCGGTCACACTGATCAAAAAATATCAACAAACAAAATTATAGCTTTTACGGCCCTCTTTTTCAATGTTTAAAGGCAATAAGTAACGTGGTTTGTGCCAAAAGGATGGACGAACTATGTCGAATTTGCAGGTCGCATTCCGTGACTTTATTCGGCATATTTGACGAGCGCGAGCGTCGCCAATGGGAGGGGGAAATGGAACCGATTCTCGCCGACATGGTAATGGCATGTGCCGACGTAAAGATCGAACCCGGGGATGAGCTTCCCCAAAACATATGCATGTCCTGTATCCTCAATGCCCAAAGCTCGTATCGCTTCAAGCGAAGATGTGAAAGGAGTCACGAGGAATTTTATCTGGCGATTCAAACGCAATCCCATCAGGAATTACTGAGTATCAAGATGGAACCCATGCTGGATACGATAGAGTTCGAGGAAGAAAGTTTCATTGTTGAAGATATGTTTGACGCTGAAACGGAAGTCAAGCTGAAGCTGGAGAAGCCAATAGTTGAACAGAAATCTCCAAAAATAGAAGTTGAAGAGAAAAGACAGAAAAGACTGACCTCTGGAGCCCGCAAGCAGCTACAGGAAACTAACAAAGAGGCTTTTAAGTGCGACCTCTGCATCAAGCAGTTCCAGCGTAAAAGAAATCTTGATGAACATATGAAGTGAGTTTAATTTCAGAATTGATTCATGAATTGATTGATTCATGATTCAGAGTATCTGTTTTCCTCCACAGAATTCACACTAGGTCCCACATTTGCCAAACTTGCGAACAGCGTTTCCTATTTAAGACGGATCTTGACGTACACATGACTGTCCACAAGAGCAAACGACCATATCAATGCCCCCTATGCATGAAGAGCTTTGCCACAAGCCAAAATAGAACCAACCATAAATGCCTGCTGGAGGAGGATCGCCCCTTCAAATGCACTCACTGCCCGCAAACTTTTGTCCATAACTACTATCTCAAGGAGCACATGCTCAGCCACACCGAGGAGGAATCTAATAAGCCTGGCACCGGCCCACACAAGTGCACGCACTGCGAGGTTGGATTCCACAACAAGACTGCACTAAAAGTCCACACTCTCTCTCACACTGGCGAAAGACCGCACACCTGCGCCTTCTGTGCATCTTCATTCCGCTCCAAACAGACTCTAAAAATCCACATTCGCATACATACGGGGGAAAAGCCCTACAAATGTCCCGAATGCCAACACGCCTTTGCCGATAACAAAAATCTCTGCAAGCACCGAAGACGCCACACAGACGACCGACCCTACAAGTGTCCCCATTGCGTGATGGCCTTCAGGGAGAAGCATCATATGAAACGGCATGTGCTGCGAAAGCATCGTACCAGTGAGAATGATCAGGAGTGATTAAAAAATGAATTCAGTGAATATTGTTGAACATGATACAGATCAGATGAAATTTGATTTTTGAATTTATAAGTTGTTACGAAGCTTTGTTTTCTTTGGGGGAAGGCCCGCTAGCCAGTCATCGTTTGCAGTTTTTTATTGTCGGTTACTTTTGTTTTTTGAATTGGTCCGAGATGTCCAATTAGTTGGTATATTGTGCGACCTGAGGTCTTGGGAAGTACATAGCCCTGGGATGTGTAACAAAAGAAGTGCGCAATTTAAAAATGTACCGCCTTACAAGAACTAGTGTGTTTTCTTTTTTTTTAGCAAATTGTGGTACTACGGTCACACTGGTCACTGTTATCGTCATCGGTGAGTGACATATGTGCTCCCACCCCCCGCCCTTCTATTTGTTTTTATTGTTGATTTGAAGTGAGAATTGAAAATATTAAAATCAAAATGAAGAAAAAGGTAATGTACTTGAGGGTAAACTGATCCTGGCTTTGTATTAAATGCACGTTTGACTCGAATCAGGTGCTGCTGATGGGGAAGAGCGGCTCTGGCAAGACCAGCATGCGTTCCATTATCTTTGCCAACTATATAGCCCGTGATACGACACGCCTTGGAGCAACAAGTGAGTAATATGTGTATATATTCCGATTCACAGTCTATAACTATAGTACCCGACAATTGCAGTTGATGTGGAGCACTCACATGTGAAGTTTCTTGGCAATCTGGTCCTTAATCTGTGGGACTGTGGCGGCCAGGAAGGCTTTATGAAACAGTACATTGCGCAGCAGCGTGACAACATATTCCGCAATGTAGAGGTACTCATCTATGTCTTCGATGTGGAGAGCCAGGAGATGGAGCGCGATGTCCACTACTATCAGAGCTGCCTGGAGGCGTTGCTGCAGAATTCGCCGGAGGCGTTAATCTTTTGTCTTGTCCATAAGATGGACCTGGTGCCCGAAGAGCACCGCGAGGGTGTGTTCAAAGAGCGCGAAGAGGACCTCATACGCTTGTCGAGGCCGGGAAATGTGACCTGCTTCCGTACCAGCATCTGGGACGAAACATTGTACAAGTCGGTGGCGAATGAGATTTCACAAAAACGACTTTTATTCACCCTCTAAATCATTGCAGAGCCTGGTCTTCCATTGTAACCATGCTGATACCCAATGTGGCCGCCCTGAAGAACTCTGTAACGCATTTTGCCAATGTGATTGAGGCGGACGAGGTGTTGCTCTTCGAGAAGGCAACCTTTCTGGTCATATCCTATTTTCAGAGCAAAAAGAATCGTGACTCGCATCGATTTGAGAAGGTCTCGAACATCATCAAACAGTTCAAGTTGAGCTGCTCCAAGCTGGGCGCCAAATTCCAGTCGATGGAGGTGCGAAACAGCGCCTTTGCCGCCTTCATCGACACTTTCACGAGCAACACCTACGTCATGGTGGTCATGTCTGATCCCACTCTGCCCTCGGAGGCCACGCTCGTCAACATACGGAATGCTCGCAAGCACTTTGAAGAGCTAGAGAACCCGAATAACAGTGCCATGAACCACCATAGCCACAAGTACCATTGATGACGCCGCGCTGATTCGTTGTTTTCTGTTTCCCCGTGCCTGCTCTGCCTGTTTATTCTGTTTCAAAAGACAATGCCCCACTGTCTGTTGTTGTGCACACATCGAAGCGCCCAGGGTGCCGCCCCCTCCCCGAAAAGTCTTGCTGCTTCCCTTACTGATTAATATAAATATAGCCATCTCCTTCGTTGATTTTTCTTAGATTTGTAAGTTTGAACCTTTGTAGGCCGTAAGTTTATATACACAAAAATTACACACTTATAAATATACATACAAAAGAAACCTAACAATTAGTCATTTGTAAATGCAGTACGCAATATAAGGCCTAACTTTTTGTTGCACATATCACAGATAATCCAGAAAATCCATATGTATATCTGGCCTACGAGTAGAACCTTCGAACCTCAGCGGACAGACGATCCACGCTGTCCTCGTCAACGGCTATGAACTGCTTGGCTCCGCGACTAAAGTAGTAGATGTCTCCCGTATAGATATCGAACCAAAGCGCGTGTATATGGAGATCATGTGACTCCAGGCGCGCCTTAAGGAAGCCATACGAGGCAATGTTCGACATCTGCTGAAGCGTATTGATTTGGGAAAGCTTATCCTCAATGGCGAACTTTTTCTCCGAGTCTATGTAGGCCACGAAACGACGAAGGGGCGTTTCGGAAGAGAAAAATATGGGATCTTTCATTCCAGCATCGTGCCATTCCTGAAATTTCTCCAGACTGGTGTTGGCATGCGTGCAGAGCCATGAACGCAGCGGAGAGAGTCGTCGATTTAACTAGATTTGGGGGCAGGACAAATTCAGTTAAAAGGTTCATACTTGAAAGCTAACACAATCTGTACCTTGGAAGCAAACTCCGGATCCCTTAGCTGGTACAACAGATTCATGGCCTTACAATCACTGTGTCCGCATACAATGATGTGCCGGATATCGTTCACCACACAACCCAGCTCCAGGGCTGCCGGCTCGCAGCTGAAGTACTCATCCTGAAAGTGCTGGGCATGGGGTATCAGATTTCCCGCATTCCTCACTTATCCGTGGGAAACAAACAGTATGTTAGTACATTATTAACATATAGAGGTATACAAGTATATAACATACCCACAAACATATCGCCCACGTGAGTGTCCGTATATCTGGTGGGAATCATTCTACTGTCCATGCAGGTGAAAAACACGGCCTTGGGCTGGTAGATAAAACATATCAGGAGTTAGCACAAATATCGGTACGTGCGTAGTGAAATATATTTAAAGGAAAATCAAAACCATTTGTGCTCTAGTTATGACACACTTGGCAGATAGCCAAAGTGTCCACCAGAGGGGCCGGTTCAAGGCTGTTCACCAGAGAATTTCAAAATCATTGGAAAACTATTGACAGGGAATATAACATATGTATGGGAGGGGAATTATGTATTTATAGTGTTATTGTTCTAGTAGTAAAAATACAAATAATGCCAACTAAAACGTAGATAAAGAACGATCTTATCGTGTTCGTGTTCCTGAAACATAAACTAAAGCCTTTATGGACTGGGAAGGAATGTTCAATCAGTTTTGATCGTAGTGTTATTTCTGATAAATATTAACTAAAGTTAACAATCATAGGGTATTTTCGTTTCGTGCTTAAAAACAATGATTCGCCACATTTCCAATTAGAACAGAAACAAAATTAATTTATACATTAGCAGGGCCGCCAATGCACGAACTCAAACCCCAAAAGAAACGAAAACAATCACTTAAGTATATAAAAATAAAACGTAAAAAACGTAATAATAAAAAGAGTGGGGTAGGGGCTGGACAACGACAACCAACCGGTTCGTAGAGAGCCTTAAATGTTTGTTTACCAAAAATAAAGCTACAACAAAACGGTGAGTCGAGAGACTCTAGTATGTACTAGAGAGGGTAGAGAGGCAGACTGTCTGACAAGCCAGACAAATATGTGATAATAGGCCTGCACAAGGCAAAAGCATGTTCTGGGGCCTCTCTATTTAACAATTTATGTGAATGCTCAATGTCAAATTGAGCTAAGTTATTTCCTAATTTCACGCACACGGGTATAGGTTCTAGTTCTAATCTTGACCTACAAACTTTTGCCTCACCTCTGGATTATCGCGCACTTTCTGGAACTCTTTGACCATTTGCTCGCGCGTCGTATTACGATACCGCATCACACCTCTCAGAATGCGCTCCATTCTTGGAAACGTTTGATATTGTCTTTAATCGAATGATAAGCTCCTATGATTTTACTACACGCACTTCACCCTTCGAATTGATTTTTGTTTGATGGGTATATACAATATACAGCAGCTCTCGTAATAATCACGCACACACGCCGCGTTCTCATCCAACAGTAACAAAATGAGCGGATGGAGCTCCGTTGACGGGCAGTGGAGCATTTGAAATGGAATTGTTGCTTCCGAAACACGCGACGCATACCCCAGCAGCTGTTGCTGTTTCTCGCTGAGAGCGCCAAAACCGTTGGGGCTTCGAGAGCTTTACAAAGAGAGAGCGTAGGAACGAGTACAAAAATGTCTAATGGGGATGAGTGTGATACCATTGTAGTTTTTATTGGACTGGAGTCGATTTAATACCTTTGTGAAACCTTTGCTAATCGAATTAGATTTAATTATATATCCATCAAATATTCCATTCATTAAAAAGAGCTATTTTTATACATGCAAACAGCTCTTCTCTTTTTTTACTGGGCTGCTTTAAGAGAAGAGAGTCAATTTGTTTGCACGAGAGAAGTTGTCATTAATATTGCTCCCCCAAAAGCTAAGACACTCCTAAATATAATATTTACTCATTAAATATTGTTTCAGGGAGAATTGTGGGCAAATTAATCGCTTAATGAAATTTCGCAGGGCAAACGACTCTGCTCTGGCAAATTCCCGACAGACAACCAACCATATTCTAGTTTCAATGGCAGACAAGCGCTTATCAGTCCTGAGCAGGGGAAACGGAGGAATCGAAGCAGCCAGATGATTTTATTGATTACATTCATACTATATTATAGCGCTCGGAAGTTTTTATTGTTTTTTTATTGAACATGGAAATTTTTTTTATGATTTTATTGACATTAATGACATACGCGGATATAGAGTAATATTAGAATAGGTTTATGGCAGTCATACGGATTAATATACACTGAATTTATGCATATTCCTTGTAGCGCCAGTAGGGATAGATCCAATATATCGTTTTTTTTAAGCCCAGACTAGGGGTTGGAGCTCTACGAAGGCGGGAAGCCCTCCAAACAAACCCGTGGCTGGAAACCATTCTAAATATTTAAAGCTTTCTATTATACTAAGTGGGACTTTTTGGTTGATATTAATTTATAATTCAAACTATAACGTAATACATCAAGTATTAGAGTTCTTATTGAATACGTCAGAACAATAAAAATCTTTAGCAGCAGTGAACGGTTAACATCCTGTTCCAGTTGAAAACATTTAAAATTTGCGCGTATCTATCGATATAGCAAGCAAAACATCGATTGTGCTATCAATGTGCCCATTCCCATTATGGCAAATAAAACACTAAATTTGAAACGTGAACAACCAAAACTCCGAACTCTGAAACGTCATTCCGTTGATATATATCACACAAAAACATCCATTTCATATTCATATTTTCGATACAGTCCAATATTATCACCTAACCATTGATAACTCATTGTCGTATTAAAATGCATGCATGAATATTAAGAAACTGGTCTTTTTTAAAGTTATTATATCTATACAAGGAACATTTAACAACTCAAATTAAACCTGTTAAAAAAAGAAGTTAATGTTTTTCACCGGTATATTTACGTTTTTTTCGAGGTTTAAACGGTCACACTGCTGCACTGCAACGAAAACATGAGTCGTGAGAGGATAATTTTTAATGGGCTATGGAATGGGGTATGGACAGCAGGCCAAAACAGTCAAGTCGAATTGCAAGGTTCGTACGAACCTCACCTCGCGTATGAGGACAATATACCTTGGAGACAAAATGTAGTATATTAGGCAAAACGGGTGAATTTTACCTTGTATGCGTTGCATTATCTGGGCCGTGTTGCCTATTGTCCATACCCTCTTTTCCCCACAATATGTAGTTACCGTGTAGTTGCCATGTTGTAAATTAAGCGAATGTAAAATGTAAACAAAAAAACAAACACAAAATTAATGTTCGTCGCGCAAAATAAATCACCGAGGCAGTCAAACAAAACAATAATAAAGACAACCAACCTGATAAAAATAAGGCAAACATAGTATAGATTCAGGCACAAATCCGAAACAGACACTATACACACGCACACAAATCAAAAAGCAAACAAGGCGGCTGTGCGGGGCAGAGGTAAGAATTTTCATCAATTTTAATACAAATATACTTTTATATATATAAATGTATATATTGCCTCTAGGATCCTTTCTTTGCTGTTTGATAGGAAACCGAGGCACTGTTGTGCTTGCGTCCGCCACAAAAATGGGCGCTTGTGTATGTCGCATGAATCCCGACAACGAGACTATGAGCGTCTCGTCGGCGAGCATATCGCGTCCACCCAGTGCAGGTGAGTGGCCTTCACATCGGTGGCATCAATACCCCTTAATCGGCAATCTGTTTTTGATTTGTGACGTTTTCGCAGGCATTGCCTTGGGCGCGTCGCGCAAAAATCGCCCACTCTGCCATGAGACAATACGCTGGCGTTCCGATGTGCCATTGACCGAGGGACAGCTGCGCTCAAAGCGGGACGAGTTCTGGGATACAGCCCCGGCCTTTGATGGTCGCAAAGAAATCTGGGATGCCCTGCGCGCCGCCACCAATGCCGCCGAAGGGCTGGATTTTCAAATGGCCCAGGCCATACTGGATGGGGCCAACGTGTCAGTGCCAAATGGGTGAGTTGAGTTGAGTCCTTTTCCATTATGGCCCACAGTATGCTAATTGCTCTCGTCTGCACTCGCCCGACGTGAGAAAATCAATAGCATATAGTGATTTTTTTTATAGCCATAACTCCATTAATGCATGACAGCGGTTCGTTGGGTCCCTTAATGGACGATGCCTGGGGTGTTATAAATTTGTGATGAGGCATGCTAGTGGGTTAGAAAACATTTGGAATCTATTCTTCGTGCAGGCATTTAGGAATGGTTTAGTAAGAGCTTTCCGAAAATAGAACCAAGTTCGGTTTGCTTGGTAATTCTTTAGTAGATATTTATTGCAAATAGATACAACTTTGACATATCTAATACTCCCTTAAGAAAGTGCCCACAAATAAACCAATTATCTTGGATTTTATGGCTTTCCAAATCAGTTCGATCATATTCCATAGCTATTGGTATTCCTTCATTTATGACGCACCACATGGCCAAAATATAGATCAATTATGTAGTACTACTTCACAAGCAGGGAGAGCATTAGAGGCTTCGCCATGTGTCTCTTTATTTGCGCGCTAACGTTTTTATTAGACATCGATTTTTGACTGCCCCACGACGCTGGCATTCAATTCCATCGGACTGTAAACCATATTTATTTAAATGCAGCGCTGACCTTTCCACTCCACTGTCTGACGGCGTGCATGTGGCCCAGTCCATGTCCTTGCTACCCCACCGTCCCATTCCATATGTCACATACGTCATTTCCTCTTTTATCAGACTCTTATCGGAGTCTATGCCCGACCCCAGCTGGCATTGAATCATTAGCATTAGGGCCAAATCGTTGGGTAATGTATTTATGGGGAGGGAAGGGGACTGGATGGTGGATTTGAGATAAGATAGTGATAGTGGATTGCCCGCCTGGTTACTAATTTGGCTAACATTCGTCTTGCAGCTACCTCACAGAGTGCTACGATGAGCTGGGCACGCAGTACAAGGTGCCTATATACTGTCTGTCATATCCCATTAATATCGTGAAGGAGGAGAATGGACGAGACTCGCCCGCTGAATACTCAGAGCCAGTGGATGGCGGCACCGAGATCTTTCTCAAGCTGCGCATATCATCGAGCATGACTGATGTTAAACTGCCAGTATACTCCAAGGATACGGTGGGACAGTGCAAGAAGAAGTTGCAGGTGAGTTGAGCTCTGTATGTAGTAGGACTTAAATAATTATCCAATTCATGGATTTCCGATATTTAGGCTACGGAGGGTGTGGATGCATGTTGCCAGCGTTGGTTCTACAGTGGGAAACTGTTGGGCGACAAGGTGCCCATCGACGAATGCAGCATACACCAGGGCTATGTGGTCCAAGTGATTATCAATACGGAGCACTACAACCACGACAATAGCACGAGTACGGTGCACATGTCGCTTGCGAGCTAGCGGCGCAAGCAACACAAACTAGTCAACAGCAAGCCACGACAGCAGCAGCAACAAGCACAGGAACAACAGGAGCAACACTCGCAGAAGGCGGAGGACGAGGCCAAAGGAAACAGAATCATGAATAATGTCATATACTCAATCTGTCGCACAAAAAGCCCAATCTGTGATGATGTACAGCGCAAAGGGAGACAGCAAAGGCTACAGCAACAGCAAACATATTGCATTTATCAAAATCCGCAGCAATTACAAATTGTTGCTCTCTCTGCCTTGTTGTTATTGTTGTTTATATGGCTGCTCGCCTTGTTATGCTTTGTGTAATATATTTAAAAACAAAAAATCAAATAACAAAAAAAAGAAACCACAAAAAAATGATAGAAAGGGAAATTGCAAAGGGAAAATGCTTGTAAGAAGAACATAAAATATAATGTAATATTATACATATATATTTTTTTGATAATAATTACAGATAATACAACAGATTAAGGCAATCTTTATAAAGCATATATAATTTATATATAAATGAAGGCAGAGAGCATTACTGAACTTCTCGATTGAACAACTAGAAACTGTACATTTTTATATCGAAATCAGCAACAACAAAATTGAAGAGTAGAGCAAACCATAAGCTAATTATTAACTAATTGTAAGCAAGTGTTAGAGCATTTGCCTAATTCTAATATCTGAAGCAAATTAGCTAAAATCTGTAGTATTTCGGCCGCAACAAAACCAATCAAACCGATTTTTTGATACTGTACAAAATGCCAAGCACAATAAAAGATTGTGAGAGAAAACCCGTAAGTAGAAACAATACAAAAACAGAAAAAAACAATACAAATAATTGTTAAACATCTATATTTCTTGCTCAAAATGTAGTTAACACGATTGAGGGGGGGGTTTGATTATACGAGTAGTGGGAGGAGAAGTATCGGAGTTGAAGAGTTAACCCAAGTACCTTATAAATGTATATGATTTATTTCGCTTTTAGTGTTAAGAATGCAATCGGAAACGAAACTGAAGTGAATATTATTTATTTATCTGTCAAGCACATACATTTTTTTGGTTCTTCTCTTTATATTGTATAATTTTTCTTTCAAAATAAATTCGATTACGGAAATGATTGCAAGGAAGGAAATAAAATAAATGAATAATACTGAGATTAGCGGATCGGCCCTCATGGATTTTATATGTTAGTTCATCATTAGTTTTACTCTATTTACCTTTCTACATACATACTTATACATATATGAAAATTAAGTGCGTTGCGAAACTATAAGAGAAAGGCGGGATTTTCCTGTACATATTCTTATAATATATCAAAATTAATATCATTAATTAAACAAAATAAGAAAACATGATGATGAGAAGATTAATTCGGTTTCCACTTGAATTCATTAGATAAATTAGATTGTTGACGCACATTAACCCGAAATATGCCGATTAATTTCGATCTTATGTAATGGTAAACTAAATTGTTTGTAAATTCATAACCAAATCGGTTGTTGAATGGTTAAGAAACCTTGATATTAGATGGATTTTGATTTTTATTGGATAATAGAGTATTAAATAACAGGTAAATGATGAATCTAATACAAAATTGACTCGGTTTGTTTCGAACAAGATGTAACATCTGAGTTAATCGATAATTCGAAACCTTTTTTCTCTAATTTTCTGTATTGTCGTTCGACATTTTCATATACATATGTATGCTGTAGTTGATATAATTCAATTACTGAATCTATTCGAAAAAATATTGAAGTTAATTATTTTCCATAAATTCATAACTAAATCTGAATGAAAGAATTTTGACTAAAATTGTATGAAATAATTTACTTGATTAGAACCAGAAATATAAATACTTTAAAGGAATTATTTTTAGTTTCCAATTTGATGCAATTTGAATATATTGAAACACTGAAACATTTAAGCTTTAGTTTGAGAGAATATTTCTGGTTAACCTTGCACAATTTCGACTGTCTTATAGCTTCGAAACGCACTGTATGAGAGTGTAATGTGTGAGCCATTGCCAAAGTTGATAGAATTATTGAGGAAATATGAATTAAAACCATGAGTTTGCATCTGTTTATTAAAATGCTAATATTTTTTATAATTACTAAAAATTGTATAAATAAAATCAAAAATCGAAATCCGAACGATTGTCTAGCCCCGAGCATCCATCTTTTGGAGGAGCGTGAGAAATGAGAAGGCTGTGGTGATGGTCTGGAAGGGAACCGACTAAATTATAAGGTGAAAATTTAAAAAAGTAATCGAATTCTAAGATACCCCTCTAAAGCGATCCACATTCAGGTTGGTGATCTTTCCCGCCGTTAACTGGAACTGTTTCCGGGCATTCAGCATGAAGAACATATAATCGCTGCGTATTTCTCGAAGGTGTCTCTGCCAGGGACTCCTCCATAGGGCCTCGCCACACCTTTGGCTGTTCTGGTAGACCACATCCGCAAAGTAGCAGATTATGAAGAGCTCGTAGAGCACCAGTAGCAAGTACTGCCCGAGGGATACCATCCGCATAAACGAGTTGGCCGTAGTGCTTTTGGTTGAGACGAAAGCCACAAGGCACATGAGGAAGGTGACCTCTCCAATCTTGAGAAACCAAATGGGACTGTAGAAGCGCTCCATTTTCTTGAGTACGTCTACTATATAGCGATGGTGGTCAATGCAGTGCCTGAAGGATCGCTTGAAGGCTTTGAGGAAATCTCTAGAGGATTCATCTTGCCGTGGATGCTGGAGTAGCTGCTCTAAAGGGGTCTGTTCTTCATGGGAATAGGCATACTGATTGGGTTCAGCATCGGCAATAGACTGTTCAGATTGGAGTTGTCTATAGATGGGAAACTAATGGATATTAAGGTTTTCATTTGAGTTTTTGAATGTAAACCTCAGTTCTGCCATATTCCCGCCCATATGTATATAACTGGTGACCAAGACATTCTTCAGGCTGCAGAAAAGAACGTCATATTGCCCCGATAAAAGCACACAGAACACCATATGAAGACCACTAGAAGACGCGAAAGAAGCTGCCACTTGGATCTGGCCAATGGCCTGTAGAAAGAAGACTGTTTCATATACAATAGGTTGCTAGAGAAAAGATTACATTATTTTACATTTAGTCAGAGATAGAGAACTATATTCACCGTATAATCAAATGGATACCAACAGGCCAGAGGCAGACTCTTGTCCCTATAGGCAATGGGTAGCACGAGCCAGAATATGGTTCCAATATAACAGCAATAAACATACGTTTTAATCCACAATTTAGACACGTGATGGGCCCCCGACATGGTCACATAGCTGAAACCCAGGGCAGAACGCGTGTGATAGTTCTCATTGATTATTGACATAATTTCATCGAGCATCTTTGGCCGGAACCGTCTGAAGTACAGCTTCATGGCGATGGTCCACAGATAGATGATTGTTTGTATCATGCAGTTGACGAAGAAGTCCAAGTCCCCCTGGCCATAGTTGATGTAAATGGTGCAGATGTACAAGCCAAGAATATGCACGGACACAAAGTAGTTGAAGATCTCGTAGAACCAATCCAGTACTCGCACCAGGAGCCCCAGGAAGCTCGATCCCTTGAGGGAATACCCAAATGGATACATGGCTGCTATGCACATGGTATAACGCACAAAGACGAATAGATCTCGACGTTCTGAGTCGTCTTTAATCTTAAGTGGAGGGTTTCTTTCTTTCATGGTGTCTTTACGGATTATTAGGAGCATTTCTGATTTGATATCCTTATATATGCTGAATATTTCTATCATTTTATTTCTATAAGCTAGAAATTATATACTCTCGACCAAGAAAACTTTAAATTACACGTTGCAATGAGGCAAGACAGCAGCAGACACCCAAAATGGCTCTACAAATTAATATAATTTGAATAAATAATAAGCAAATTGATTTAGGAAAACTTTTGGTTGAAGCAATTACCAAAAGTTTGGCAACTTTGTGGTGGAAATAACTTAATGAATGATTAACCGTACGAAAGAAGAATTTTCCCCATTAATTATTAACAATATTTGTTTCTTCATTTCGAAAACTGTTGCAGCACAATGTGTGATTCCTCAACCAATTTGTGGGGAATGCATTTGTTCATACTTCATTTAATTCCATTTGGCTTAAGACCTTATCTGTGAAGTTGGTCAACAGACATTTACTCCAAAATATGGTTTAGTTGTGGGAAATTTGGCAACATTTCTTTGCAAATCATAACGCCACTTGACCGTCTAGGCAGGCAAACAAATTCTTAGCCATTCCTCAGACTGACATACGACTTAAAAAAGAAAGGAAATTTACAAAAATCTTTACATTGAAAGGCAGTGCAGAGCAGACCATGTCCGGAGTCGAGTCGTGACTGCGAAATGTCGGCCACGCTTGATTTCGTACGCCGAATCGCTCACAGGACAATGGGAAAAGGAACCAATATGTCAGGCGAAGTAAGTCAAGTGGGAGGATTGTCCTGCTCCGCCTTGCCCTTTGCCTCCCCTAGTGCCGTGGGAGGAGGAACTGCGACAAGTTTCCGTTTCCGCCATCAATGTGCATGTTGCACAAAGTGGAGACATGCGACGCGACGAGTGAAATATGCTCTTGTATGCATCTGTGTCTGCATCTGGGTGTGTGTGTGTGTGTGTGTGTGTGTGGGGGTGCTCTTGTGGCAGATGCAATCAACAATCGGATAGTCAGTGCAGTCAGTAGTCTTCACTATATTCGTGGCCATTACTTGTACTTTAATGGTGCATTCGCTGAGAAATGTCGAGTCGTATTTTTCATTTCGATGCTTTCGTTGTTCACCCGCCCAATGCCACTTCTCCTTGTTGGATAGTGTAAACGACATGTGGATTTTATTTATTCATTCCTTAATATGCTGCTGCTTCTTTATTATTGTATGTAATTACTGCGATGTACGAATGAGAAGATATATACGAGTACGAGTATATGTAGTAAATAGATAATGGAACAGGCGACAGAATGAAGCGTTTAAGCAATAGTAGTGCACATGAGCTTGGACTAAACAAATGAGTGGCTAAAATATACACAAGTAGATGCGCTTGGGGCATAAGGCATGGTGCGTGGGTATGCGGATGCGTGATCAATCGATGTTCAGCTGACGGAAGGTACCTTCCATGCCGAACAGATCATCGCTGGTCTTTGGGGCGCCGGGGCGCAGAGATTCATTGGCCTTCTTATCCTCCTGTTCCTGGAACCACTTGGTGTTGTCGGCCAGCTTCTGCTTCCACCACTTATTGAGCTCCACGACGCTGCCAGCCTTGCCGCCGTACTCATCGGGCAAGAGATCTTTGGGCACCACCTTGTAGAGACTGTCGATATCGTTGTGGAAGGTGATGCGGCTGCGGATCTTCTCCTTCACGAATGGCTTCACAAAGTTGAAGATGGTGTCGACCAGCGGGGAGATGTTGATCACATGGACCTCCTTCACCTTCACTGGATAGCCCTCCTGGACGGCAATCAGAAACTTCTTCACCACCGAGGGTGAGAATTTGGCAAAGTGAGCGGCACTGGCTGGGGCCGCGTCCAGAATGAAGATGTCACCGGCAATGCCGATTGTCTCCTCCGCCAGACGGACATCTCCGATCATCAGAGCCACCTTCATGGCGTCCAGAATGTGGTGCGGCTGGAAGTCGCAGTCGATGCCCCTCACAAACGTGATCCGACGTCCATTGGGAGTGATCCCTGGCAGGGTGGGACAGTGTCTAAAGGGATATCAATAGGTTAGGAACAGTTGCCCAGACTATGGCTACTCTTCTACTTACACATAGTCAAGCACAAGGCTAAGCTCCTCGCGGTTGATGTCCCGATTCGAGAAGACCTCCGGTACCGCATTCCGCATCGTGTAGTACATGTCTAGCTTCTTCTTTACCTTCTCCAGGCTGAACTTGCAGCCGCGCAGGAACGTGGTCAAACGCATGTCGTCCATGTCCTTGGGCAGATGCGGCTGTGTCTCCAGCCACTCGCGGATCAGCTTGATATCACGCTCAATGTCGGCTGGATCCTCGGGTTCGCGCAGCTCCTCGCGAATGGTTACGCGCTGAGCGGGTGTGGGGTGTAGCATCATCATCTGGGGATAGAAGAGACGGATATATTCGATTATGGAAGGTAAAAAGTGTAACTTTTCTGAAGGTAAACGTCTTCCAAAGGAAATATAAATTGTTCATTGTGCATTAAATTTAGTTCCCTAATTTTTTCTACAGATCAAAGTCACATCTGAGGTCCATTATAATGACAATCCCTCATTCTACGCTTACCGCTCTATTGCAACACTTTATTTTTATTATTTTTGACATTTTAATTGCGCGCTTTCAAAATGCTTCCCCCGTCTTGCGGTCACACGTCAGTGCCTCGATTCATTACTTTGCATGGAGCTATGGCCAAATATGCATTACTCCAGACCCGCCCCTGCCCAGAGCAGGTGTTCGGGTACTTAGAGACCCTACTTTGCGTAAGGGCCACAACAAAATTAGCTGACATCGACCTCAAAAACTATTCATGGCTTTGCTTCTTTCTCTTTCTCTCTGTCAGCTCTGCTGTTTGTGCGATCATCCATATAAGAAAACCCGAAATGCGTAACAAAATACATATAGTATGTTGGGAGGAAGGGATATCAAATAATTATAATGCAAATCTCTTCTGATCTTAGGTAAAGCTTTGGTTTGGGGAGCGTAAAATAGTGATAAATGTATAATGTATATACTATGTATTACTATATTATATATTTTGTTTAAATACTTTAGAGCTTTTGTTTACGCTCTTTGGGGCGTGATTTTCTGTTTTGGCTTGTTGATTTTTCTTTGTCTCTTTTTTTTAGTCAGGCATACAATTTTACTTTCTGCCATGAGGTAATTGACTTTTGAAGATTTATACGAGTATATGTTTATAAATTAGCTTGAGTAGAGAATGAAAGCTATTAGAGTTCAAGGCGACATTCCGAATAATATAAAGAATAATTGTGGAATAAATCATTACCTTTCTATAATGGAAACCAATCTTTTTGTGTTGATCAGAAGAAGTTTTCTATCTATGTAAATTTGCGCCCCACACAGCAAAAATTTGATTTGAATATTATATCAATATTTCACACTGTTTTTTCTGTGTATAAATTTCGAAAGTTCAACTGAAACTAATTTCCAGTTTTAGCCAAAACATTTGGAACACATCAACAAAATTTCGTATCAATTTTCAACACTTCAGACTCAGATTCCATTTGGGGTCAACAGCAAAAACAATTGGTAAGAGGCAGAGCTCTCGAAATAAGCCAAAAACCTAAGCTCAAGCTAGCGAAAATGAAAGCGATTTGATTTAGGATACTTTATGCCCCATTTACCACCAGCAGCTGCAAGTATGAAGTTGCATATTGCAACCTGTTAGAATTGCAATTACCGGCGCTGATGTTGGCGGTGATTTTTCAGGAGGAGGCACGTCTAGACTCGAAATTACTGTGTGTATGTGGTTACTGCTGATGTTGCAGCCACTGCTAATGGCCATTGCGTCTGTTGCAAATGTGACTGGCTTGCAACTCTGCGGCACATATTGCGAAAATCTTCAGCAAAACAAAACAGCGCGAAACCAGACGATAATCAAGTGGCCAAGAGTCAAGAAAAATGGTCAGAAAACTGGTTTTACCAACTCATTTTTCCTTCTTTTTTCGGTCTTTTCAGGCTTCAGTGGAAGTGCTTTCGGTTTTAGACTCTTTCAGCTTTTGTCTCTCCTCTGTACCTGTCTCTCTCTTTGCGCCATTTGCCATTACAATAATTCTGTTTGCCCATTTGTTTTGTAATGCTATTACTTTTTGAGTAAGAATTTCAGCAACATTTGTGGGTAACATTTAAGTGCCTGAGGAAGTGGCCTGCAAACAAGTACGAGTTTCGGCCTTAAAGAAGAACGAAGACGAATTGAAAGGGCTTGGCATTCTTCATACTAAATGTTATTTACTTCTTATGAGGGATTATAATTATGAAGAATTTTTAATAGATTTAAGGTATTATTTTTGTTAAAAGTAAAGGTATTTTAAAGCAATTATAAATTCCAAGAATGACTTTTACTTTTTTAATTCAAGGGAATCAATCGATTGGTTTTCATTTGTACACAAACTTGATAGATTACGTTTTTGAAAGAAAACTTTGTTAAAAAAATGAGTCCAAAACTAGTTTCAGCTTTGAGTTTGGGAACTGGGATTGATGTACTATACTTAGATGAACTCCAAAGCTTATTTTGATTATATTGCATTTTTCAACTCTTTTATTATTATTATATCCAAAAATTAGAAATATTCCTGATAAATATGTATACGAATTATATTTCATTGTTAACTAATTAAAAAGACTACCCAAATAATAAAAATAATTTCTCCTTGTCACTCACTTCTGTCATATTTCCCACATAATAAAAAAGTCATTAAACTCTGAGCTTCAAAAACTACACCAAAGTTATTCCTTGCATATGTGATGCATTTTATGAATTCTCTTAAGATTCTTTTGAACATTGTTGGACAGCATAAATCTCTATTCTTATTATTCTTTGGCATTCAGCTTGAGTTATTTGCACAATTTTAAAGCGAGTTATTGTTCCATTGTGGAATTTATGGACCTCCGTTGGATGGTCACCCCCAAAAATCCTTCACTTCTTTTGTATGTCTGACATTCCACACATGATTTGCACACTTTATCGCGTTTATTAT